GCAGGACTTTGCCCTTTTCCTTGTTGAACCTCATGGGACTCCTTTTGGCCCAGTCCTCCAATTTGTCTAGGTCTCTCTGAATCCTAGCCCTATCCTCCAGCGTATCTACTACTCCCCACAGCTTGTTGTCATCTGCAAACTTGCTGTGGGTGCACTGCATCCCATCCTCCTGGTCGATGATGGAGACATTGAACAAAACTGGCTGCAGGACCAACCCCTGAGGCACTGCTCTTGATACCGGCTGCTTCTGTTTGCCAAATGTGGTTACCTTTAACTGGGAGTCTCTATTCCAAGGTCATCTTTTCAGTCTTAGGTTGGGATAGGTTTGCTCTGACTGAATTTGTTCCTCTTTTGCTGAATTTATTCAATATAGTTAGACAATTTCCTAGTTAATTTTAAAGCAGGAACAGTATTTCTTCACCTGCTCCTTTCACTGGATGCTTGTCGCGACCACAGTTCAAGCTAAGCACACTGCTTAAGCTAATCACAAAGGTCAAGACCCAGGCTTGAAGGCCTCTGGGTCCCAACGCAGCACCCTGAGGGGTCCTTGCTCCTGGGTCCAAGCCTGTGTAAATCCTCCCCTTGGGCACCAGGGCCAGTATCTGCAAGAGCAGCAGGCCCAGCCCCTCGGACCAGCAGTAGAGCAGTGCCTTGCCTGGATGGAGGAGCAGGAGGACGGGCCAGGCTGGACACCTGGGAGGGCACATCCCCAGGGCAGGTGTCCAAGGAGGGAAAGAAGGGCAGGGGCAGGTGGCAAGACTAGCCAGGAGCTCCCCTCTTTCAGGGCTGGGCTGGACTGGGCTCACGGCAAAAGGGAAATAGTGTGGGGGGACCTTGGGCACTAGCCCTGCCAGTGGACACCCTGGCACAAAGGGACTTTGGCACAGGCAAGGCTGATGGCTGAGCGTGCCCTGAGGACTGTGGTGCAGCTAGTAGGGCTCTTTGGGAGGAGGTTGGGGAAGCATAGTCCATGGCAGGGGTCAGAGATGCAGACAGGGATGAGGGGGGAAGGTTTGTTTAAAGGCTTCAGCTGGCCCCAGGGCCGCAGGGGCTTGTACTGCCCATGCCTGTGGGCCCCTGAGCCCAGCCCGCCCCTGCCCCGCAGACTGGGGGCAGGAGAGGAGGCAGCCATGGGGGGGACCCTCTGCTCCAGGGTGCCTGTGGGACTGCATTGCCAGATGATGCATCCGGGACTAGATTCTGGCACTGGGACACAGATCCCAAACACCCACCAGCAGCTTCTTCTTCGTGCTTCAGCCTCCTTACTTCCCACAGGGGAGCAAGGCCTGCGTGGATTGTGCCCTTTTCAGTCCTGTTTCACCTGCTTGCCAGCCATGATGTGCTCCTCCATGGTCCCAATGATCAGCGCCCGCAGCACCAGCAGCAGGACGAGCCCCTTGGGCTGGCAGCAGGACAGCGATGAGGTGTGGGAGGGTGGTTGTGCTGGAACTAGAGCAAGGCAGCGGCTCAGAGCTGGGGGGAAGTGACTGGTGCTGCCCCATGGTGTTTGCCCTGCAGGGCAGTGGGGTTGGAGACAGCCCTTGGGGTGCTTGCAGGGGAAGGAAGAGCCCCACCAGGAGGTCAGGGCTGGGCCGTACTTGCACAGAGATGGTGCGTGTGGCTCCCTCTGTAGCAGGGTCAGGGGAGATTTGTAGGGCAGAGATTTGGGGTGGGGAAGAGGCAGCATTTAGAGTCAGGTGCTTTCTAGCAGCAAACGTGTGGGCCTGATGCTTGTACTCCCCAGGTGAAGGCTGCACGGAGCTTCCCCATAAGACATGTTACCTGTGCAGAGGGCACTGGCACAGGAGCTCATCGTGGAGCTGCTGCTGACGGGGTTGTGCATGGTGCACTTGACGTTTACTGGAAGATCTGGGTGAGAGATGATCACGCCGGATCCTTGAGTGGTAGTACTGGGAGGCAGGGGGTCTGGGGCACTCTGGTTGTAGGTCACATTGCTGCCTCTGTTGGGGATGGTGCAGCTCAGGGTGGTGTTACAGAGCCCATTTACACAGCTCTGGGCATCGCAGTCAGTCGTGGGCTGGGGCAGACACTCTGCAGGGGGAGGAAAGGAACAGTAAATGGGAGGATACAGGTGTGAAGGAAAGTAAACAGCACCCTGGCTTCCTGCAAGCATCTCCCTTAGACACTACCAGGAGAACAGAGCTGCTGAGAGCACCAGGTGACGGAGCAGACAGGAAAAAGGCCTATTAGCCCCACCTTGGGCGATGCTGGGTCCATGCAGGAGGCTCCTGGGGGTGGAAGACCCCCGCAGGGATGTGTCCATGTGAGATGTGCCTGCTGCCTGATATTTCTATACAGGCTCCTTGCTCACAAATATAGACACACTTGAGCTCTTAGAGCAGAGGTGACAAGGGCGCTGCACAAAACACATCTTCACTCCGGCTGCAGTTGCAACACTCAGATCCTGGATCTGCAAAGTGCCCCCCAGTTTGCTGGTGTGTGGTGAAAGCAGAGACTGCTCCCCTGGACCGGGCACAGAAACAGCTGTGCTAATCCTGCCTTATCCACAGAGTGGGATTCACATCTCTACCAGTGTATCCATCACTGTTCCTGTGCGCTTCCAGGACATTTACTGATTAGGCTGTTGCATTTCAGTGGGAGGGGAGAGATTGTCTTTGAGGCTGGGTGGGCAGAGACAGTTTAACTCCTGTCAAGTTAAACTAATTGTCAAGCTATTTTTGCAGCAGAATTTAAAAACAAAAACCTGCACTCACCATAGAGGCACAGTGTGAAGAACCTGGTGAATTCCCTCTTGTCTGTGATGACTTGAGCTGTGTAGGAGCCCGTGTCCTCCAGCCTCAGGTCAGTGATTTGCAGTGAGAGGCCGTTGTTGGGGACATGCAGGCGGCCCCTATAGTGTTTCTCTGACACAAGGGCACTCGGGGGGGTCTCCTAGTGCCATGCTTGCTCGGCTGCCTGTGCCAACAGTCCAGCCAGCGATGTCTAATCTCTCCCCTGCTGGGATCAAAAGGATGAAGGTGACCGTTTCCCCCAGGGTCCCGACCAGCTCCATGGAGGCTGCATCTGCACCTGCTCTGGACCGTCCTGCACCTTGAAAGGAAACAGCATAGATTCAGGGCTACAGAGCTGGACCTCACCACACACATGGCCATTGTCCTGCCCAGCCCCTGGCACCTCTGCCCGCAGAGCCCCAGATGCTGCCTGCAGCTCGGCACTGACCCCAATGTGGGGAGCTCCTGCCCCGGGTGCTGCTGCCTTCCCCGTGGGCAGCCCGGGTTGGGCACCTCCGTGTGCGCTGCTCCTCATGCTGGGCTCAGGGAGCCTGTGTCCACCCAGGAGCAGTGTCCCTTCCCCTCAGCCTCCAGGCCCCAGACCTGCCGCCGGCCCAGCCCCATGTCCGGGATGCCCGGGGCCCTGTGCTGCCTCCTGCTCCTCCTGGCCTCACCTGGCAGGGGAAATACCGTGCCCAGACAGGTGGCTTTCCTCCTAGCTGGGAAAATCATGTTCTTGGCAGGTGTAGTACCCTGACCCGGGTAACGCAGAGTTACCCTCCCACTTACACTTCCAGCAGGAAGATCTTGGCTACACACAGACCTTTTGGAAAAGGGAGACTCATTTTTTGCTTGCTTCTGTGGCCGTACGGCTGAGGGGAAACGAAACTCATAGGCTTGGGCCTGCAGGTGAGATGCCCGCCAAAGGCTTTGGAAATATCTGAAGGCCCAGGCGGGGATGGAGGATGTTTGCGGGTAGGAGGGCCACATATGGTTCTTCAATGGCTCACCGATTCAGAATTGATTTGTCTGATTGGACTTGGGACATGAAAAATTTTCCTGGCAGACCATTGCAGCTCCAGCCTTGAAGCAGCCCCCTAGATGCCCCAGTGGTAAGCTGCAGAGCCGGGAGCACCGTTTCCCCAGTGCTGGGGCAGCCCCTGTGGCTGGGCTGCCCCAGAGCCAGGGACCTGGAAGGCAGGGGTCCCCAGCCTTGGGAGTCTCCTGATGGGGCTGCCCCAGAGCCGGGGCACTGTCTGGTCCTCCTAGAAGTAGTCGGGCTCAGCATGGGTACCAGCCCTCCTGAGGGCACCACTCAGGCAGGTCCCAACTCCCCCTTGCCCTGCACACGGCAAGCCCAGTTGATTGCTGTTACTGCAGCCTCATCTGTCCAGGCCCAGCTGTTCCCCAGTGTCCCGCTGGCTGAGTGCAGAGATTTCAGGGCTGTGTGATGTGTGTCTGGACCCAAAAAGTGCTTGTGCAGACTCCAGGCAGTGGGAACTTCTGAGTCTCTTAAAACTTCCTGACCAAGAGAGTGGCAATAAGGCCCACGTAGAAGGCTTTGCAGGGCAGGTCCCTCAGCATTACTCTCATGCCATGGGTGCCAAGGGCAAGGTTCCCCTTCACTTCACAGTGCAGCTGCAGGTGTGGGGTGTCTGTGTCCGTCCTCCAACTGCCCCCACCTCCCACCCCCCACCACCCGCACCCACGTCCCCGTGTGGTTATTTTCTGCTAAAGGAGCAACAGAACCAATGTGAGGTTTTCTGTCCTGCAGCTTCACACGTCTCTCCCTCTGCAACCTGTATGGCCAGTGGCCAACCACTGAGAACTAAAAACAGGAGACAGGAAGGACACAGCCAATGTATGGGGAGTGTCTGCAGTGCAGAGGATGCCTATCAGTCAGTCTCTGCCAGCACCCTCCCTATGAGGATTGGAGCAGAGCTTCTCACCCTGAAAAGGTCAGACCTGTTCTGGTTTGCAACCACACCCTTCTGATTCACTCAGGTCTGCTTCGGTACTTGATACCTTCACTATTTGTGGAAAGAGCGTCTGTATGGGTCAGTCTCACCAGGAGCAATTCTGCTTTCTAGTAAAGCCTCCCTGTTGGATGCACCCACAGGTACTCAGGGCCTGCAGGATGGAGACCTCCCTGGAGAAGTCAGCCTGGTTCCTCCTAACTCAAGTCTCTTTCTGACTCCTTCCAGCCTCACTCCCTGCTGCCTGCTCACCCTTCAGGTGCCTGCCAGGATGGAGGGAGCTCTTTGTCCCTTTGTGCTGTGCCTCATCCTGCATTTCCAAGCTCAGGGTAAGTGCCAAGGGGCTGCATTTACCCCTGGTGCAGCTCATAGAGGTTATAGAAACACAGAAAATGAGGGTGGGAAGGGACCTTAGGAGGTCACATTGAGTCCAACCCCTGCTCAAAGCAGGTACAGCCCCACCTACATCATCCCAGCCAAGGTTTTGTCTATCTGGGCCTTAAAAACCTCCGTGGTTGAACCACCTTTTTGGATAACCCCATGGGTGAATGCAGGCTGCTGGTTTCTGCAAGGCAGGGGTCATGTCTGGTCTTGTTGTGGGGCCATTTGTTCCAGCGCTGCCCCAGCACGGGAGCTCCTGGGAGCTGCAGCCACGTGGGCACTTCCAGGAGTATTAGCACTGTCCCTCATACCAGCGCGTGAGGGGATAACACTGAGCACTGCACAGACACCCAAGGCAGGCAGCCTGGGAAAAGCTGGGCATGCTTGGAAGCGTCTGCTTCTTATCCCATGAAAGTGTCTGCTCTGAATGTCTCCTGGACCTTAGTTGAAGAGGATTGGGTCTTTACATGCATTTGAAATGGGAAATAGGCAGGGTGGGGGTCCTTTCATTTTGGTAAGAAGCTTTTTCAGCTTTGGAAATCTGTGTGTGGGAGGAGTTTGCAGGTGTGGGGCTGCAGCTTGGGCCTGTGGGGTGCATGGGCGGGGGGACAGAGCTTAGTGACTTAGAAGATGAAAACTCAGATACATGTCCCTGAGCTGAATGACTCTGGGGCCTGGGCTGGGTGACTGCTAGTTAAATCAGTGTGCGCTCAGTGGAGCTACCTGCTAGCTGCTCATCAAGGGCTGTCTCGACCCAGATGCGGGGTTGCAGGCAACCAGGTCTGTGGGAAGCCTGTATAATGGAGAATCAAGTTTTGCCTGTCAGCAGCTAGAGGTGCAGGGCCCCGGATCCCAGAAGCCTTGCACCTATGTCCTTGACAGCTGGCAGGCTTTGTGGCCTCAGCAGAGGCTAGCAGGCCTGCAGCTGTCAACCTGCTGTGACTTAACACACAGTGTCACCCATGTCACGAGTTTTGCTTGTCGCAGCTTGAGGTGCAGTTTCCCCCGAACCCCTGCACCGATCTTCTTGAAACTTGGCAGGCTTCTTGGCCTCTGCAGGGGCTAGCATCCCTGCAGTTTTGGCCCCTCTGTGGCTTAACACAAACATGTGACTTGAGTCTTGCTTTCACGAAATTGGAGAGCTCTGTGGAAGTAAAGGCACCTCCTGAGGTACAGACACATGAACCTCATGGTGGTAGACCATGTTAAAATGGCTTTGAGCAAACTCAAGTCTTACTACTAAAAATCAGTAGTAGAGGACGGTGAGGATGCTGCCAGACCCACCCGGCAGAGGGACACCTGGCACAGGAGTTGTCAAGACCCTGGGGAAGGGAACAGACAGCGGCAGCGAAGCGGAGGTGGAAACAACCAGAGTGGGAAACAGCGATGAGGCCAGCAGCAGTGACCGCAGCGGTGGGTCCTCCTGCGAGAGGGACAGTGAATGAACTGAGTCTCAAACCCCGTGTTCAGGGACTGGAGGGCTGGAAGGAGACGATGCCTTGAGACCCCGCATGGCAGCGCCATTCTGGGGTGCCTCTATTACAATGGTGAGCTGGCTTTCTACTGGTGGGTTACGGAGGTAATGAACAGTGACTACAAGGTGTATGTGTGACACATAATTTTACACAAAAATAAAAGTATAAGAAAAAAAGCTGTGGCCTCTGAGTAACTTCCTCCTCTGCAGGTCTGTGTGTCTGAACCCTGCCAGGATCGAGCCTCCTCCCCCATCCTCTTGCACCACAGACCTCAGGGGTCCTCCAACCTCCCTTCGTGCCGGGCTCTCTGCTGCCCCCGCCCTGGGTCCCTTTTCAAGCAGCCCGGACCAGGGCACTGGGGAAGGGGCGTGGATGTTATCTGCAGTGCGGGTGCTCGGGGCTGTCTGGCCGGCGGATCCGGGCGGGCTGTGGGTCCGTCGCCGCCGCCTCCCGCTTGGCCCG